TTACTAGCGATGGCCGGCCTCCATCCCAATAGCGATGGCCTCCAACCCAATAGCAATGGCCTCCATCCTTACTAGCGATGGCTGGCCTCCATCCCAATAGCAAAGGCCTCCAACCTAAGGGCAATGGCCTCCATCCTTACTAGCGATCGCCTCCATCCCAATAGCGATGGCCTCCAACCTAAGAGCGATGGCCTCCATCCCAATAGCGATGGCCCCCAACCTAAGAGCAATGGCCTCCATCCTTACTAGCGATGGCCTCCGTCCCAATAGCGATGGCCTCCAACCTAAGAGCAATGGCCTCCATCCTTAATAGCCATGGCCGGCCTCCATCCTAATAGCGATGGGGCCAGCCTCCATCCTAATAGCGATGGCTTCCAACCTAAGAGCTATGGCCTCCATCCTTACTAGCGATGGCCTCCAACCAAAGAGCAATGGCCCACATCCTTACTAGCGATGGCCGGCCTCCATCCTAATAGCCATGGCCTCCAACCTACTAGCAATGGCCTCCATCCTTACTAGCGATGGCCGGCCTCCATCCCAATAGCAATGGCCTCCAACCTAAGAGCAATGGCCTCCATCCTTAATAGCGATGGCCGGCCTCCATCCTAATAGCGATGGCCAGCCTCCATCCTAATAGCGATGGCCTCCAACCTAAGAGCTATGGGCTCCATCCTTACTAGCGATGGCCGGTGTGCATCCTAATGGCGATGGCCTCCAACCTAAGAGCAATGGCCTCCATCCTTACTAGCGATGGCCGGCCTCCATCCTTGCTAGCGATAGCCTCCAACCTGAGAGCAATGGCGTCCATCCTTACTAGCGATGGCCTCCAACCTAATAGGGATGGCCTCCAACCTACATGCTACACTTTGACTCGAGGATTATTGCAAGTTGACCACGTGATTTATTCAAAGTCCTCGGGGTTGTGTCGGGATTGTATGAGACTTCACGCCTGCAGCTCTTCTGAAACACCATCGGGCCTTAGCAGCAACATACTTCATACCGAACTGAACCTGTTTGATCAAATGATGCATGATGGCGCTAATTTGCAAAGAAATTCCGGGCAAGGCTAAGTCCAATGGTGGGCACCATGGATTCTGGCACCTACAAATCCACTGAGCCCGAATTTAAAGAGCCTTGGACTGTAGAGCTACTGAACTGTAATTAGTCTTGATCTGGTTGTGGGCGCTGCAGCGTGCCTTTTGCTCTTGAAGCTTCTCATCGACTCAAGCTTCATTGTCTTTTGTCTGGATGGCTTCCCAGGCACTCTTGGTTGCTTCCAGTTTGCGGATGTACTTCCCAGGCACCATCACCAGAGGTCCTAAGGCTCTGTTGTGGGTCCCGTCTTCAGAGTTGCGCGTCTCGTACCCGCTCAGCAAAATGAGATTCTTCAGCTGATCGAAGCACCAAAGCTGGCCGCTGATTATTCGTCCATCTTCGATGTGGGCGCGTACAACTGTGTTCATCAACTCCGACATGACGCGTTTGGCGTCTGCTGCATCATTGGCATTCACATTGGAAACTAATGGCGTCGACATAGGGGCTACATGGGGCTACCGGGCTACCTACCGATTGAACATATCAGGCTTGAGCCCTGTCAAAGATCACGCAACAAAGCCGGCAACAGAAAAGTGCCTCTCTCTGCATCTGAATCTCTAAGATGTGCAAAAGCTTTTGAACAAACAACGCAATGACATGCCGTCTTGATTAGTTGATCTCGGCTGAACGACCTGTCGACTTCTGAGGACAAAACGCATGGACAGAAAGCCTGCAACCACTCTCCAAGCACTGAAGCTTCAGCTTCACCTCACAACTGATTGGATCCAGTCTCTATAGAGTCTAGAGTCTGTACGAAACATGTCTCATGACTCAAAAAAGCTGTTGAGGGAGAGGGAGAGGGAGAGGGAGAGGAGAGGGAGAGGGAGAGGGAGAGGGAGGGAGGGAGCCACAGAAAGAATCCATTCACTTCGTATTGAATTTCATCCGATGCTGGCCGCTGGCCCCGATTGAAACTTCTTGAAGAAACACACGCCAAAAAGAAAAGGTATTCTTTTAGCCCTCGGCTGGCTCACATTCGTCCACGGCGAAGCCATCGCTCTCAAACTCATCGGCCAAGGGATGGCTGAGGCCAATTAACCAAGCGACCTTGGAGGAAAACAACACACCTTGGAGCGACGTTTCAAGTGATCACAAATTCAAAGCATCAGCGAACAATCCATCAACTAAAGGAATCAACGGGGTGTTTGACCCGCTCCTCACCTCCACTGAAACTCAACCACGCTAAATAAACATGTCACATCATTTCATGACACCCGACTGACTTGGGATCATTGCATCCTTTGACTCATCCTTTGACATTGTTGACTTATATATATATATATGTGTGTGTGTGTCAAAAACTGTAGTATATGATGCCAAGCTAGGGCTCAATCGCTTAGTGATTAGTGCCAGCACCTTTGCAGTGATTAGAGAGCATAGCAATTCAAATCAAGGTCCATGCTCGATGGCCCTTGACCGTGAGGGTCGTCTTGTCTACCTGGCCCGATTCATGCCGTACCCTCGGGCGCCACCAATCGCGATATTCAGCCATCCCTCTCCCCTGTGGCACACACTCACACACACGCACACACACTCAACAACCGATTCCATACATGGCCGTCACTCACACACGCTCTGCTTACTCTTAGGCGGCACAGGCAAGGCTGCTACATTGTCTGACAAACTAATTTTGATGTTGCCCTTTTGCTTCAACCCTCCAGCTTTCAATCTTGTGGCGCCCTTGAATGTCAGAGTCTTATAGGCCTTTCGTTCCACAACAACAGGCATGGCATCCTGGAGATCATGATCCTCACGCACAGGGCTGGTGCCATCTTCATCGCAATCCTCTTCCTGGAGGAAGTTGAGGCACTTATATAACCCCGTTCACCCCTGGGGTCGATTCAATAGCGCGTGCTGGCCAAAAGGAGCAGAGGAAGGCCAGTTCAGATCATGATCAATCATACAAAACCTAATCCTGTCTATTAATCCTACCAAACAAGGTCAATGAGACAGCTCTGCCTCAAAGTCCTGGGCAGCATCCTCCTGAGTTTGCCATCGCTCGCTCTCTCTCTCTCTCTCTTCCTGTGTTGTCACTTAGGTTTGCTAATTGCTTATGTATGCTTATGTTGCTTTGCTTGTCAGATCTTTTCAGCAACTGTCAGCCCCGGGCAGCGTTGGAACCTGGATCCTAGCCGCTAGCTGAGTCCTATTCCACGGCTCTGAGGTTGTGGCTTGGTGCTGCTCTCCCGCCATGGGCCTCAAACATGTGAACCACATATGTCCGTATTATATTATGATACTAAATGATATGATATATTGTAAAAACATCTTGTATGCAATATTCACCACATAACCACACATATATATATATATATTAGAGCTGCCCACGCATTGATCAACCGCCTGGTGCTTTCAGGTGTCGTCATATGTGTCACTGCTTTAGCAGCAGCATTGTCACCGTTTTCACAACATAATAGCCGGTTTCACCAAATGATCATCGGTTTCATAACACTGTCAGCTTTCATAACATTGTCATCGATTAGTCGTGTGATTAAAGTGGGGTATGTTCCATTTCACGAAACTGTTATCGGTTTCAAAAAACTGTCATCGGTTTCATAACATTGTCATCGATTAGTCATGTGATTAAAATGGATTGGGGGGTGGGGGGAGGGGGGTGGCAGGGATTAATCGGTATAATGCGACCCCCCCCCCAATAAACTCTACCATTCAACCAAGACATAGGATATGTTTAAACGACTAGTGGGAAGTTACGGCAAAATATAGTTGAATAGGACTATGACCATGTTTATATTTTATTTGTGCTTTTTGATAAAAGCCATCAAACCAAATCAACAAAGATAATATGTTTAACCATTGTTCACAACGACAATTGGCATCGTCATAATGTCACATATATACATATGCGTATGCATATATATATACATATATATCACCATTTTCTACGTGTCAGGGTTGCACGCAGAACGCTGGCGCAAAGGTAGAAATGTAAAATTTGGTCAGATGTCATTGAGTCTAAATCAGGGAACCTTTCAACCTTTACATTGGCACAATCCTGTCAGGGAAAGCATGACAAATCCAACTCTCCCACTCCAAGCACGCCGCGCCACGGGCCATGTTGAAAAACAACATCATGAGCATTTGACACCTTGATATTTAACTAGTTTTTGATGTTGAACTTTGTTTGCACTATCTTTTGCTGGTCAAAGTGGGCCGCAATTTTCATGCTCAAAGACGGGCTTTTGGGCTTAAGCGGGTCATGTTTACGCAATTTCGGTGCCCAAAGACGCAGGTTTGGGCCTTAAGCGGACCATGTTTACAAAGACTCGACATTGCGCTTAAGCGGGCCATCCTTACACAATTTCGATGCTCAAAGACCAAAGACGCGGCTTTGCGCTTAATAGGGCCACGTTTACGCAATTTCGATGCTCAAAGATGCGGGGCTTAAGCGGGTCATGTTTATGCAATTTCGATGCTCAAAGACGCGGGTTTGGTCCTTAAGCGGGCCATGTTTTCACCAAATCAAAGTTGAGGGTTGAGATGGGCACCCTTCCAAGGCACTCTGGCTAGTCATTTTTTGCATTTTTAACTTGTTTTGATCATAGTGAATCATGTTTAAGCATAAAGTTGTCACAAATATGATTGAAACTGATTAGGAATTACTCAAATAAGAGTAGCAATGACTCAAAAGTGATTATAGACATGGTTTTGAACAAAAATCACCACAAAGTATGAGTGAACCAAAAGTGTTTTCACGGGTACATCCACGAGTGATGCCACGAGTGAAGTTGCAGTGAACTTGCAGACAAAATGAAAGTTCAACATAGCCTTTTACAATAAGTTGACGAGTCGAGCAACAAGCCAACACAATGAAATATGTACGAGTACAAACGGTTCCTTTACGAAAATCAACGAGGCCAGGAACACTGCGCTGTCAGGGATTGTAACAAGTTACTTGTTACAATCCCTGACAGCACAGTGCTCCTGGCCTCGTTGAAAGCTTCTGAAACTAGTAAGTTTTGGCCGAAGAGCTCTGCCCTGGCAGGGATTGTGCAAAGTAAGGTTTTTGAAACTAGTCAGGTTTTGGCTGAAGGCATTGAGTATACTTTTTGAAAGTAGTCAAGTTTTGGCTGTGCTGGCAGGGATCGTAAGAATATTGAATAGTAAATAAAGTTTTTGCTGAGCACTGTGCTGGCAGGGATTGTTACTGTAAGATTTTTGAACCTAGTCAAGACGTGGGTTTGGTCCTTGTACGCCGGCCATGTTTACGCAATTTCGATGCTAAAAGACGCGGGCTTGCGCTTAAGCGGGCCACGTTTACGCAATTTCGATGCTCAAAGACGCGGGTTTGGTTCTTAAGCGAGATTAAGCGGGCGATGTTTACGCAATTTCGATGCTCAAAGACGCGGGTTTGGTCCTTAAGCGGGCCATGTTACCATGTTTACGCAATTTCGATGCTAAAAGACGCGGGTTTGGCCCTTAAGATCCTTAAGCGGGCCATGTTTATGCAATTTCGATGCTAAAAGACACGGGTTTGGGTTTAAGCGGGCCATGGCCACGCAATTTGGTTCTTAAGCGGTCCATGTTTCCGCAGTTTCGATGCTAAAAGATGCGGTTTTTGCCCGAAAACGGAAAGCTTACTTTGATGTTCTGGTGGTTTGCTTATATGTTATGGGCATTAACATATTTCACAAAAACACTATGTACAACAAGTCGTTTTTAAAAATATGTTTGGAACACATAAAAACACTTGAGCCTGTAGAGGCTAAACGCTTGAGCCTATAGAGGCTAAACATCAGCCTGTAGAGGCTAAAGTCAAAGCCTGCAATGGCCATGTTGACTGCAAAGACTCAGCTTTTTCACTTGTGAAACAGAGGAGCAGGTTTAAGGCAGGTCACCCTGCCATTCTTTCCAAAGTTGCGCACCACTGGCTGCAAGACATCTTGGAGTGGCAGCAACTGCTTTTGGTCACAAGTTTCCCAGACAGTGGCTGTCTTTGTCTTCTGCTCCACAAATTTGAACTCATTCAGCAGCACGCATGGCACATCAAGCACCGACAGAAAATGCAATGCCTTGCCGCATCTCATCATTGCTTGCAGCATTTGAGAAGAATACCACACCGCCAGATGTACAAGTGGAGCCTGAAGACAACTTGCAGTTTGTTGCTGATTGCACACTCTGAAATTGCAGCCCTTCTGCCTTCAACTTCTGCTGCAAAGATTTGGGAACACCTCGAGGGCACAGCAAATGACAAGTGTCATCAACAGCTCTGCATCATGAAGGTTATGAAGGTGTTCCATGGTGCAAGCCACCAAGAGACCTTTGTCATAGGTCTGGAGGTTACAATGCGCAGACCCATATTTCCTTGCTGTTTTGTGTTTCCTTTCACAGGACCAGCGTGAAGGCAGCTGACCCCAGCGCTTCAAACAGTCAAAGAAGTGAAGAGTCCAATGATGTTTAGGCTTTGTATAGTTTGCAAAGCCTGCCAATGTGTGACACTCCAAAGCACTCTCAACAAGGCCCAACAAAGTCTTGGGGCA